AGGCTACATTCATCTGCGATTGAGGGGAAGACCCATATGGAGATGTGGTCGGGAGAGCCAGCACACGATTATGACCAGCTCAAGGTATTTGGATGCCCTGCAAACTATCATGTAAAGACTGATAAGTTAGAATCTCGAGCTAGGAAGGTCATATTTGTAGGATTTAAGCATGGTGTCAAGGGATACAAGCTATGGGATTTAGTTGATAGGAAGATTGTGCTGAGTAGAGATGTCATGTTCGATGAGACTTCTATCTTGAAGCTTCTCAGCTCTTATCAGGTGGAGAGCGACCCGACAGAGGAGATATCACAGGTGGTGGAGATCGATACAGCTCCACATTGTCCAGATAGTATAGTATCTATTAGAGTGCCGACTGAGGTGATGCCAAGCGAGCATAGCGATGATGAGGAGGATACAGGTACAATTGTGCAGGATCAGGGACCGACAACACAGGTTTAAGATTCTATTGTTGTTCGGAGACAAAGGAGAGACATACGGATGCCATCATGGTATACTAACACAGTAGTTACATATGCACTTTCGGTGGAGAGTATCAATGAGTTGGTACCTACTACATTCAGAGAGACCGAGTAGAGTTCAGAGGCTAATTCATGGCAGGTGGCTATGCAAAAGGAGATGGACTCTCTTCACAAGAACGATACATGGGATCTTGTTGAGCTTCCAAAGGGGCGGAAGGCAATTGGTTGTAAGTGGGTGTACAAGAAGAAGGAGGGCATTAAGGGCACTCCATTAAGGTTCAAGGCTTGGTTGGTTGTGAAGGGCTATGCATAGAAGGAATGCATTGATTATAATGAGGTTTTCTCTTTGGTGGTGAAACATTCTTCGATTAGGATTTTGCTAGCTTTGATGGCACAGTATGGCTTAGAGTTAGATCAGTTGGATGTGAAGACGGTATTTTTTCATGGTGATCTTGATGAAGAAATATATATGACTCAATCATTGAGATTCCGAGTTGCAGGGAAGGAAAACCTGGTTTGTAGGTTGAAGAAATCGCTATACGGTTTGAAGCAATCTCCTCGACAGTGGTCTTCTATAGATGAGTTGAAGGCACAATAATCAAAGGAGTTTGAGATAAAAGATTTGGGTGAGGCTAAGCGCATTTTGGGGATTAAGATCGGTAAAGACAAAGAGAATGGTAGAATTTGTTTGACACAGACGGCTTATTTGAAGAAGGTTCTATAGCGATTTCATGTTAGCATGGATACGAAGCCAGTTAGTGTACCTTTGAGAGCCCATTTAAAGCTTTTAGCTGACCTCTCACCGAAGATAGTTGAAGATCGAGAGTTGATATCGAAGACTCCATATACGAACGTGGTTGGGAGCTTACTGTATGCGATGGTATGTACGAGGCCAGATTTATCACAGGCGGTGAGCATGGTTTCGGGATACATGCATGATCCAGGAGTAGGTCATTGGGACACCGTGAGATGGATTTTAAGGTACATTCAAGGTACACTCAATGTTAGTTTGGTTTATGAGCGGGACACTAGAGGTGGGCAGTTGTACATTGACTATGCTGATTCGGATTATGCCGGGAATTTGGATAAGCGTCGTTCTACTACGGGGTATGTGTTCACTTTGACCCATGCGCTGGTATGTTGGAGATGTACCTTACAATCTATGATGACTTGGTCTACGATGGAGGCAGAGTATATGGTGATAATAGAGGCTGTGAAGGAGGCTATTTGGCTTCGAGGACTTTTAGAGGAACTTGGTATATTACAACGGTCCAAAACTATTCATTGTGATAGTATGAGTGCTATCTATTTGGTGAAGAATCAGGTTTTTCATATAAGGATGAATCACATTGACGTTCGTTATCACTTCGTCTGAGATGTTCTTGAAGATGGCGATGTGGAGATTGTGAAGGTCCACACGAAGGATAATCCGACGAATATGCTCACTAAGGTGGTTTCGAGCAACAAGTTTGATCATTATCGAAACTTGTTGCATATTCATGATTGTTGAGGCCGTTGACGGGCATTTAGTTGAACTACGAGCGACTTGATCCATTGGGAGAGAGGGTACGTAGGCAACCATATTGGTACAGCCGAATTTGGTGAGACGACGCATTGGTGCTCATGTTGGTGTCGGCTCAGTTTTGGGAATACTTCGTTGAGGTGGAGAATTGTTAGATAGCAGGTTCATAATCTATTTTGGTAATAGGTTATTAGGATTCCTAATCTATTTTGGTAACATGATTCTTAATCTGTTTTTTATTAGGATTCCTAATCTATTTTGGTAACATGATTCTTAATCTGTTTTGGTAACATGTTATTAGGATTTCTAATTTGTTTTGTTTTTGGTTTTAGAATTCCTAGTCTGTTTTGGTTTTAGGTTTTCTATATATATGGAACGCCTTAGAAGAGATTAGGATCATCAAAAAGAGGAGAGTTGTAATCGGAGATTATAGAGATTTTTGAGCATTGTGAGAGGGAGATATTGTGAGCAAGTTGAGAGCTTTGGTTAAGGGTTAGTTTGTGAGTTTTGTGAGATTGTAATCCTTGTACTCTTCTTGATTTAGTAGAATCTCCCCATCCTCTCCCCGTGGACGTAGGCAAATTGCTGAACCACGTATATCTCTGTGTTTGGTTTGATTTGTCGTATTTGGATTGAATTATGCTAGTGTGTGGTTGGTTCTCTTCTCCCGTGATCACAAATTCGTTTGCTGTGCGAGCACGCTTCCGCATGGGCTCGCAACAGGCTTAACTTAAATTAATCATTCTCTTTAATCCTCCTCTCTTAACCTCTTGCCAAATGAGAAAGACTACCTCAGTTTATCTTTTAATGCACCAACTTCGGAAACCACTCTTTAACTCAAAATACTCTTACCCTCACTTACGTTTAAATCCACTTAATTTTAAAAAAATTTTTTACATATAAAACCCAAAGTTGTACCCTATTTATTTTCAATCCACCCAATTCTAAAATTATTCTAAAGTTGTGGGTTGCTTTTGTTGTTACGACTAGCTATATTTTTGTTCTAAGTGGTAAAGTATACGGTTTCTTTTTAAATGAAATGCTTACTCTATTATTTTTTAACCTTTTCATACTAGTGTGGCAATATCTCTAATTATGGATGGTTTTTACACACACACACGCCCACACACACACACACACACAAAACCTCCCTTTGCGTAGAAATGTTTTTTTTATCTTTAAACCCAAAATTTTAACCCTATGCTCATTTACTTTTAAAACCATATTGTGAGTTATTGTTCTATATATTCTGTTTTGGTAGCTAATATTCTATTTTAGGTAGCTAATATTCTGTACGATATTGTTTGGTAGAAAATTTGGAGTAAAAAGAATGAAAGAAAAATTGATTTATATTCTCTTGATCTTAATTACAATTTAAATTCCGATTACAAAAGAGAGGAGAGTGATCTGGATTCTCCCCTTTGTATAATTCTGGGTTCTTCACGGTAGCGATGGAGTGTCTCCTTCGAATGCTCGCGTCGAATTTGCTCTTCGTTGACGATCCGAATATCTCAATTCACTGGAACAGCTGACTTGTGTGGTGGAACTGATCAAGAGCTCTTGACGAGCTTTTTAACTCAGAGTGAGTGACGAACTCTGGTGAAAAAGAGTTGTTTTGAATCGAAAATAATTTGGTTGAGAAGCCAAGTATCTAGTATCAAGAAATCTTTAGTTGTTGAAGGTTGTTGCCTCTAGATTTTCTCTTCTCCAGAATACGATCTCCAAAAATCCGATCGCAAACTCTGTTGAGTTTGTTGATATTTATAGGGGAATTAGAGGTGTAACTGCCCCCATAATCCGTGCCTATATGGGGGTTTATTCGCCCTATTAATCGGGTATAACAACCCACTTAAACCACTCCCCAGATCGTGGGTGAACAGCGGTTTTCTCGAAACCGTATGGATCGCGTTTGAACGAGTCAATGTCTTGACTTGTGTTCTGGGTATGATCCTGCGTCTAAACCCAGTGTCTGGAGTCGCGTTTGCAGCGATATAAAGCTACAGATGTAGAGATATGAAGCTGCGTTTGTAGCAGATGAAGCTGTGGATGCAGCGGCTGAAGAGCTGTGTTTGCAGCGGTATGGAGCTGCGTTGACAGCGACTGTAGAGCTACGTTTTTAGCTGTATGGAACTATGTTTGTAACGGTATGGAGCTGCGGATACAGTGATATGAAGCTGCGTTTGCAGCGGATGAAGCTGTGGATGCAGTGGCTGAAGAGCTGCATTTGCAGCGGTATAGAGCTGCGTTTGCAGCGACTGTAGAGCTACGTTTGCGGCGGTATGGAACTGCGTTTGCAGCGGTATGGAGCTGTGGATGCAGTGGCCGAAGAGCTGCGTTTGTAGCGATATGGAGCTACGTTGGCAGCGGCTGTAGAGCTGCGTTTGCAGCGGTATGGAACTACGTTTGCAGTGACTGTAGAACCACATATGTAGTGATTGCGTTGACATTGGAAATTACTTGTGTTTCAATTGCAAGGGTGAATTCTATTTCTTGGTCTGAAGAAATCATTGCCTTGTAATCTCTTCTTGATCCATAGGAGAATCCTCTGATTGCAGCTTTCCTTTGTTAACAAGAGAGTCGTCTGATTGTAATATTCTTAGTCAAAACTGTCAGTTGAAGCCTGATAGGGGTGAACTATCTATTGTGATTTTTAGACAGCCTACAGAACCCCCTCCAAAGTTTTCGAAAGTTCGCGGTTGACTGGGACGAATTTTCAGAATACTTTGGATCCCAAAATTTTGTTGATTGATTGCTCACTTCATCCGACTCGAAGACATCGTGAACCTGGTTGTTTGGATAGTAACTTTTGCGTCTTAATGACAACGAATTTAGTCAAACAAGCTAAAGCCCAAGTTATTACTGACGAACCAAACAAGAATGATGATGACAACGAATTTGTCTGGGTCCTTAAGATGCTCTGCTCAATCTGCAATGAGGTGTATTCATCGGATTTCGTCTGGGTTTTTGAGATACTCCACTCAATCTGCGATGAGGTGCATTCAGTTGTCTAGAAAATTCTTGTAGGAATTCATGAACATGTGAGGCGCAACTGCAAGAGTTAGGTAAGAGAGAGCCAAGGACATCGAAGCAACCATAGAAACACCAGCTGCAAAGTTGTCAACGAGGTCATCCTTAGTGAGGTTGAGCACCTCTGGGCTTAAGACAGATCCATTGTCATAGACAGAGAGAACCGCAAGCCCGTATGAGAAGGGCCTTATCCCAAGTTTAGTCAGGAGGGCAGCCTCAGAGGAACCCACTTTATCTCCTTTCTTGATCAGCTCAATTGGGGTAATGATTTTAACCCTGTTGTCATTACTCTTGGTTGGAATGTTAAGCCCTTTGAAAGGGTTAGTTGTGTGATAGGCTGAGGTCGATCACCAAAACGCATGGCTAAATCATGCGTTCGACCGTCTGAATGCGAGGATGTGTTTGGAAGTTGAGATCCCTTATTTGAAAACGCAAAAATTGCGTTTTGGGTGGGATTTTTGCCTAAAATCTCACGCTGATTTGATAACTACAGCTGTATATAAATGGACCACTGAGGTCAAATCAAAAAGTCATTCGACTTTTCTCTTTCTTGCTCTTTTGTCGACCACTTAACAGGGTTCCTGTTCATCTTCTCCAGCGCTTCAACAAAGGAAAAAGTCATTCTTAAATCTTTCCTTAACCATTCTATATCTTCTTCGTCACTATTAGAATGGCTCCCAAGAAGAGACTGACCTCCAAATCAAAGATCGCCCCAGCTCAGGGTGCTCCTTCGGCTAAAACCTCCGGGGATGTTCAAACCATCGCGCCATCATCTCCGACTTCCTTAATTAACTGTAAGCTTAGGCAGTCGTAAGTTGTTTTGACAGATTCCTTCTCCTCAATTTTGGATTGGTGGTTTGCATTCCACCATTAGAACACAGAGATAATCCTTAGTGTTTATCGGTTTTAAAACGCATGGTTAGCTCCGTCGTTTATGATATTTTAACGCAGGCTCAGACCCTGCGTTTTGAATTTTAAATGCGGGTTAAGACCCTGTGTTTAAGAATTTGGACGCAAGTCTAGACCTCGCGTCTAGAATTTGGATGCAGGTCTGGCCCTTGCGTTTAAAATTTTGGACGCCAACTCGGAATTTGCCTTTTTGAGTTAGACTCATTCGTTTAACTAACTGATTTTATCTTCTATTCGCAGTGTGCTACTCCAACGAGCCTCTTTCTTTCAACCATTACTTTGGTCATGCGGGAGGTGCAGAGAAAAATACAATCTTCAACTTTCATTTATGGTGTGTTTGGGAGTTTACTTAGGAAAGGGAAGGAAGGGGAAGGAAGGGAAAAAATTCCCCTTCCTTCCCTTCCCCTCCATTACACCCCAATTTGGGGTGTAAAAATTTGGGCCAAATTTCCCCTCCATTCCCCTCCTCTACCCTCCTAAATGAAACTCCCAAACAAGGTGAAAATGAAATTTCCCTTCCCTTCCCCCTCTCTACCCTCCATCCAAACAGGCCATTAGAGTACCCAATATTCTAGGACACCAACAAAGAGCGGGCGAAACTCATCACTCAAGCTTTCCCCGAGACTCTTAGGTCATTGGTTACGGACGCTAAATTTGAAACCGTAGAGCGTGAGATTTTAAAGAAACCATCCTTCCTCTTCGGGGATTCTGTGAAAATGGATCCTAAGCGGATGTCCGAGGGAAACTACAAATGGCTGAGGGCCGTCAATAACCGTCGTCTTTTCCTTCCTAACTTAGAGCGAATGTGGCCGATTTCTTATTATCAGTGTGCTTCTATCCCATGGTCGATGAATTGGGAACTCGTTCAGGACCAAGGAGGTGTTGCTACTGGGCACATCATTCCTCGGGGCACTCATCCGTCTGGTTTTAATCATTTTGTGGCCTTGAAGCCAGGTTTATTCAAAAAGAAATATCCTATCGGTGAACCTGCTAAGCTGACGGAGGTCTTCATCAGAAAATTTATCTCTGTCAAAGGAGAGTTCCACGCTTAAGATTTCAGGGCTCCAATATGGGTACATTCAAGTGAGACAGACTGGTGGGCCCGGATGATAAATTTTATCTTAGAGGAGCTAAAAGAACCTTTGAGGATTTCAGAGTTGAGAACTCCAATAATAGCTACTCGATATGGGATTTCTCTAAATTATAGCGAACTTTTTGCTATGCTAGAATTTTACAATCCTTACACTGGTACCTTTTTTACTCCTGCTGGTGAATTAGGCTTCGCTCTCCATGAGATGTTTGAAATCTCCGGATTGTCTTTTGGAGAGCTGCCCTATGAGGAGTTTGTTCCCGGAAATAGGGAATTAGAGATCCTGAAACATAGTGCCCCTGAAATCTATGACACTTATTGGGAATTGATGTGCCATTTCTAGATATGTGCACAAACTACTGGGAAAAGGGCCAGTGGTGTGAAACAAGGACAATGGGCAAAGTATCTTTTTCAAAATCTGTGGGACAAGGACGCAGAGGTGACTCGCTTAGCTGCCAGTACTCTTGAGGAATCAATGAGCGTATCAATGATACGACCTCCCACTATACTTGCGAGGTAGAGGAGGACGTCTTCCCAGCTTTCACCACATTCGAAAGCTTCCATTATCAGGCAGAAGTCCCAATCTCCGACATGGCTTTGTTCGCTGGTTTTCTTACTCTTTGGTTGAAAAATTGTGTGGTACCCACTAGGCCGGTGGACGCTATTATAGTAGAGGTTTATACCCAGCCGTTCTCCTAGCTCATGGACGGCCTCTAAATCTCCTTTCAGCCATGGTATGCTGTTTGCAGAGTAGTCTACAGAAACTAGCCTCTGAGTTTATTGCCGTCAAGAAATTGGACTCAGATGGGAAAACAATCACTCAAACCCCAACCCCTTGGGTGCCGATGCCATATATTTATTTAGTATCTTGGTTTGTGTTGCACTGCCCTTCGATAATGTCGACTCCTAAATCGAGCGATACTTCGTCTCCTCTTGTTCAGCAATTAGAAACCGCTCGATGGGTCGGTTGGTATCAGGTTAAATTCCGCGAAATATTTAGACGGGATTATAATGACGAGATCGCTTGTAAGTTTCCTGTTTTTGAGGGCGGTGCCTATGGAGAGATCTATCAAGATACTTTGAGGCAGAATTCTTTTACTACACTTAGTAGAGGCGCCTTCTGGTCGCTCATAAATATTCGCCCGGGCTATCTTCTCTTCCGACAAGGGAGAAGATGCTTCATTGAACCATATCAGTCTTATCGCTTTTCTCGGCAATTCGGCTATGATCAGATTTATGTCAGAAATTCAAACCCTACTCTTGCGTACACAAGTAATGTGTATGAAGGAGCAAGAGTTTGGTATTACTCAGTGGCAGGCTGTACGGGAGAAAAATTCCAACTGCCGCATAAGATACCCAACGTTCGTACTTCTTTAATCTTTTGTACGTGGTACCAGGCTGCTTCTCAAATTTTAGCCTATAACATGAATACTTCCTGCCTGAATGCCATTCGCAAATGGTATGCTTCAAAGAGAAGTGCCAAAAAGTTCTGTGCCCGTGGGGTTAACGAATACTTATCATATGAAAAGGCGATTACTGAGGATGAAATACGACAATCACCAGAGGGAGTTCAGGAAGAGATCAGGATGTCAGATACTCACGAGGTGGAACCTTCGAGAGTCAAGACTCGGAGTAAAAGCGCTACTGGAAAAAGAGCACTAGACCCGACTGAAGAAGCTAAGTATGACAAATGAGCTCGTCGAAAGTTAGCACTCGAGCCCCCTGCTTCTAAGCTTATGTGAGATGCTCAGAAAGCATGGCATGCAAAAGAGGAAGAACGAGAGTCTACTGCTATGGGGCTCTCGCCTCAGCCTGGTCTCCCCACCATTGGTCCCGCTTTAGGAGGCCCTGTTTCTTCTGCTCGTTCACTGAATAAAGAAGAGCGTGGAGATGAATCATTTGCAGGGGGTGCAGAATTTGCCCCTGAAGATATACTTCACGATACTACCTCTACTGCCCCTCGTGTTGAAGAAGATAGATATCCGGTCCAAGATCCCACAACGACTGCTCAGCATGACTTAGTAGCGGACAAATCTCCTTCTGCTTCTGCATTATTGCCATCTATAGGAGACACACAACCCAGCCCTACTACTGGAGTCATATCAAAACCTATCATCACTAAGAATCCACCAGCATTTCCTCCTATAGACGAAGAGGAGCCTATGGACCATAACGATGGTGCGAATGACACAGATGATGGTGGTGACCAAAGTGAGAGTAATGAGAACAACGACAACTTGGGTGATGATAGCGACGATCCCGGTGAGTGGGATATTCCACCACCACCTTCTTCTGACAAGGCGTCAGCCTATATTCCCCTGCCTCTCACTGGTAAGTGTCGTTTGTTCCGAAACATGACTCACTTTTGCTCTGCATTAAAACTGTTTTCCCATACAGATCCTATGATACATGAGGCAGCCACTGTCACTCCTCCTTTGACGCAATAGCCTGTACCATCACCAACTCAGGTGTCAGAGCCACCTTGCTTGGAGCTCTCAATGGCAACTCTCCCACCGGCGACTTTATTAACGATTTCCTTGGCTCCAATAGAAGTTGTAGACGTGCCAAGATCATCCAAAATGGGGGAACTTATGGCTCTTTAATCGAGTCTATCTCAACTGGATGTCGACATTCCCTCTCAGGACACTACACCGAAATCACCTGCTGGTCTTTTACTTAGCTCTGTATCTTCGAAAGTTTCTATACCGTCTCCTATTGCTGCTTCGAGTCCCACAGACGTGTCGGATTTCCTCAAGATTTCTCTTGACTATTTAGAGAGTCTAATGAAGAAAGTAATTGAGGTTGTGTTGGCTGGTCGAGATACTTTTGAAACCTTCAAGCCTATTCTCACAAATAGTTTGAACAACCTTAAGTTCGTGGGTGATGTCCACATCATTAAGCGTTGCTCAGAAGTCGTCTCACGCCTAGAGGCACAACTAAGGTTCTTAGAGGCCTTAGGTTGTGCTGATATCCAAGCGCAGATCGCGTCAAAGTTTGAGGACATCCGGGCTGAAGAAGTTAATAAGTATGAAGCAGCTCAGTGTCATATAGCCAAGAAGGAAGTCCGGGTGGAACATTTTCAGAAACTGCATGCTAAAAAACAAGCTTACCTAGCACTCTCAAACACTTTTTTATAGAATTTACGAGAGAAGATCATTGCCACCGAAGTAGAGCTGACTAGGTTGAAGGCTCAATTCAAACGAGAAGAAGCTATTGTCACTAAGCTTAACGTCAAAAGTGCAACCTCTCTAGTAGATTATCGCACAGAAGCTAATGCTCTTGAAGAAGCTAAAAAGGAGATTGCTGCCATGTTACCCAGCGAGGATGAGCTTCGGAAACGGGCTGAGATACTGGTGCGAGCTGACCATGAAGAGAAACTTTCTGACATTAAGTCTCAGCTTGCCTCATTCAGTTTGATGAATTGATGAGTCTATTTTTGTATCGTTCTTTTGGTACAAACAACACTTATCTTCTTGTTGCTTTGCTTTCCTTTGAATAAAAGTAGTGTTGTTTTGGTTTTTCATCGTTTCTTTTGCATATCATATTCTGACATGAAATCATGAAATATCATTTTAATATCAAAGGATAGATTGTTTATATGCCTTTGCTTTAAGCACTGGAAGAAACTTATAAATCTCCATTTTAATATCAAAGGATAGATTGTTTATATGCCTTTGCTTTAAGCACTGGAAGAAACTTATAAATCTCAGAAGTGTCATATTAACATGGTGAGTTTATATGCCTTTGCTTTAAGCACTGGAAGAAACTTATAAATCTCAGAAGTGTCATATTAACATGGTGAGTTTGTGGTCTTATCGCTCTATCGGTGGAAGTCGACAAAATGAAAGTGTTACGATCAGAGCAACTTTGAGGACCTATCGCTCTATTAACGAGAGTCGATAAGTTAAAAGTGTTGCGATCGGAGCAACTTTGAGGACCTATAGCTCTATTGACGAGAGTCGATAAGTTGAAAGTGTTGTGATCGGGGTAACTTTGAGGACCTATCGCTCTATTGACGAGAGTTGATAAGTTAAAAGTGTTATGATCGGAGCAACTTTGAGGACCTATCGTTCTATTAACGAGAGTCGATAAGTTGAAAGTGTTGTGATCGGGGTAACTTTGAGGACCTTTCGCTCTATTGATGAGAGTCGATAAGTTAAAAGTGTTGCGATCGGAGCAACTTTGAGGACCTATCGCTCTATCGACGAGAGTCGATAAGTTAAAAGTGTTGCGATCGAAGTAACTTTGAGGACCTATCGCTCTATTAACGAGAGTCGATAAGTTAAAAGTGTTGCGATCGGAGCAACTTTGAGGACCTATCGCTCTATTGACGAGAGTCGATAAGTTGAAAGTGTTGTGATCAGAGCAACTTTGAGTCGATAAGTTAATTCCGATAAAAGAGTTATCATTATGTGAAGGAGTGATACAGGCGGAATTCAAACTCTGTGACAATGAAAGTCGTCAT